GTTCAGGCTTTAATGCTGTCTCCTGCGCTGCACCATGCACAATGTTGGAGATGCCTTGATAAACCCATGATTATTTTAAAAGCATGTCACATCATAAACACAGCACTCCCCACCCCATAGATAGGATCGACACATTTGTGCACTCGAACACATGAACCTAAGTCTGAAAGGCAGCAATCTGCATGTACATGTGTAGATATAGGCACAAATCTAGCTTGCATTTACAAATGTATGCACAGAGATGGACTTGTACATGTACTTGGGACTCTTCTGTGACCCGTGTCTATCCATACCCATGTCTTGCACAAAGCTGCAGACGTCCACAAGCATAACATATGCTTAAGTGGCAGAGCATCAGCTTTGGAATATGTAGAGGTTGCTGGCTGCCAAAGTGAAAGGACCGGTGAACTTCTGCAGTAACACCTTGAAATAATATGTTTATGGAGAAATTTTAAGTCTAAGGATCCAGAAAGAAACAGTTTCTCCCCAGGCACGTATTGCCCATATGCTTGTTAGACTTGTGCCCCTAGTGAGTAACATCTTGCAGTCAGAAGAGAGTCAGAAGGCAGAGAGGATTTTTGACAGCTTCCTTCGTAAAGTTTTTCTCTGATTTGTCTTGAATTCTGACTTAATTAGGTGTTTTGCTTTAGCCTGAGATGCCTTCTGCTCCACAGAGCAGCAGGCCGGCTGTGCTCTGTGCTAACCCAGTGCTGGGAAGCCTGTAGTCCTGGGGCAACCAGCACCTGCCCACACCTCAAGGCTCTCTAGAGCACCACCAAAACTGTTCTGGCTGCTTTCAGCCTGTCAGTCCCAGGGCTTTTCCAGCAGCAAGGACTCTGCCAGTTCTAGGAGCGCCTCACATACATACACCCCTAGCCCCAGAGAGGGGAGGCACCATGCCATCCGTGCTAGACTACATGGGATTGACTGGGTTTGGCAGTTTAAGGCTGATCTCCGTTGCTGGAGCTCTCATGCTCTGAAGTCACCCACCACAAACCTGGCGTTTATCTGTCTTGTGGGCTTACTGCATGGTTCCTTCTCCCTAGAATAACATGTCAGCCGAATGCCCTGTGATCCATGGAATACAGTGTCGAAAGCTTTCTTCCACATGCTTGGAGTTTAATCTCTTTTCCAGATTATGGAGATATGAACAGAGTAGCCTGTGGGGTTGTTGATGGCCTTTTCTTCTTGCCCTTTGCTATAGGACAGTAAAAGACATTTTTTTTAGTTTCAGCTCAGAGCAACAGAATGAAATCATTTCTGGCTGTGGGCTCCAGTGGCCAGAAATATACTGAGCTAAAGTGCCGCTTGGGCATTTGGCCTGCTGTCAGACCCCCCCAAGAGGACTCTGTAATGAGGATTCCCCTCGTTAGCTTAAACAAGGAGCTTTACTGCTGGGGTATTGTGGGGGGATGCATTAATTGTAATGACTCTGCAGTACTTGCCAGGGCATAAAGGCTACAGCAAGTGCTATCGCTGTCTCGCGCTTCCCTTCTCCCTGCCCAGACACCAGTGGGGTTTGCAGTATCATTGTAAAACCTTAGCTTTCATAAGTAGGGTCCCAAGTATCATGCTGTGAGGGTGGGGAGGGTCTCTGTTTACTGCATCCAGATACTGTTTTAGCAATCCTTCCCAGTTTTGTGACACCTGCTATCCAAAGCTTTCCATCTGTTTTACGAATGGCTCTTACCATGGTTGTAGGTGTCATCGTTGTTGTTGCTGTTATATATTTAATAACTTGCGTACCATGGTTTCCAGAAACGCTATCTGTCTGTCTTTCCACTAAGTGCCATGAATGCATAACGAAAAATGAGACTCAGGTCTTAGCCTGTAATACCTCTGCTCTAGGTAGGCAGATAGAATTATCCCATTTTCCAGACAGGGTTACAGAGGCTATAGAGACAGGTGACTATCCCAATATGTCACTAGTATGAGCCACAGTCAGAAACGGAGCCCAGCAACCTCTCTCTGTGATCATCTGTCATAGTCCATTGCGCTAACCCTTACCTCACGTCTCCAGGATCAGACTCCTTTAACAGTCTGGCATAGTAGCATTGGCAGGGCATGAGGGTGACCTATGTTACAAAAAGGTAGGTAACAGAGGCTGCAACAGATGCCAGCGGTAAATTAACAGGAAGCACACACAGGCATTCATCCCTCTCCCACAGTCTCCTTGATGAGTGATGGCAAAGTCCCTTTCCAGTGCTAAATTGCTTCAGCCTTTATCAGAAAACCAACAGGGTGAGGGAGGGCATGGAGGACACTTTAAGGAGATTATCTTCCCTCCCTCCCTTTTTCCTTGGGGAAGCTGTTGTTTTGGGGATTCCTGTTTTATTGCCTTCACCCACAGTGGAGGGGGGCAGTGGGACCCCACAGTCCAGTGATTAAAGCATCCCATTCTGTGTCTGTTCCTTTGTCAGCCCTCGGAGAGCAAGAAGGTGTACACAGAGGGAAGGCAGACACGTAAACTTGGTGGTCTGATTATAGAAACTGGAAGTTCATTAAATAATCTGGCTGATGAATCCTAGCAAGAGCTACACCTCTTCTGACACTACCAGAAGTGGGTTTAGGTGGTATGGATATGATACCCATTGTTGCTCCGGCAGCAGACCTAGGTCAGTCAAGCAAATTATTGACAACACGAGTTCAAATTTAAGCTCATTGTCTCAGCAGTGGCTCCTCCTCAGCTGTTTATTTGGATTGCAAAAGCACCCAGAGGTTGCAGCCGAGCTCAACAACACTGTAGAAACACACAGTGTGTGTCACTGCCCCAATGAGGTTTTACGCTAAATAG